AAAAAAATATTTATTTAACATACAAATTACTTATTAAAAAATTTTATATATAATAATTAAATAATAATAATAATTAAGAACGGTTTAAAATTAAATAATAATAATAATTAAATAAAGTTAATAATTAAATAATAATAATTAAAAACGGTTTAAAATTGTGTTATATACAAATTTAAAAATATATAAGATTTAAATAAGAAAAAATCATTTAAATAAAAAAAAAATCATCAGGGAATCGAACCTGCAACCCCGAGCGTAGTAGTCTACGTCTTACCGTTGACGCTACGCTGCTAGCTCGAAAATTGCTTTTCTGTAACGGTACTATAGGGACAAAAATTTTTCTCGAAATATTTAAAAAAATATTTCTCGAGAATGCCTCAATAGTGGGTCCTACAGTTTTACAGGAGTAAATGTATGAGTGCGTACTACACACCCACAAAATTTTAATCAAATCGGTGATCAGAGACTGCCGGGTTTCCCTTGTTAGTTTATTGTCTACCAACAATTTGAATACTCTTTTCAATATGGCGAGATGATGCTCTAGAGATTTCGTTGCCATCAAGAAATCGTCAATGTAGACTATTACGTCCCCTGTTCTAATTAATTCACTCAGTACTTCGTTTACGAATCTTTGGATTCTGCTCGGAGCTGACTTTAGACCAAAAGGCATCTTGGTGTATTCGAATTGACCTAGAGGCGTTATAAAAGCCGTGTATTTAATCGACTCTTCAGCTACTCGGATATGAAAAAACCCATCTCTGAGATCCAATATGCTAAAATACTTTTTGTCCAGTAAAACATTGATCTGATCTTGAATTACTGGAATCGGATAATTTGTACGTGCAATATACTTATTCAACGTTCTATAGTCAATACATAAACGATATTCTCTGTTTTTCTTTCTTACCAGTACAATTGGTGACGCATACTCCGAATTGCTCGGTCTGATTATCCTTTTCGCTAGTAACTCATCTAATATTATCTGTAATTGTTCCTTTTCCGCATAGGCAAGTCGTCTCGGGAAGAAATGGAAAGGTTGTACATCCTTCAATTCCAATTTTAATTCTGCATTTACCTTTGGTTCCTTTGGGCGCTCTGGATTTATATACTTCTTCTCGAATATGCTCTTGAATTCTATCTGCTTATCCTGTAATTTCGAAATTAATAATTAACGAATCGGATATATTATCTACCATTTCCGTCGCATTTATGTTCAGGATTTCATTAACTTCTTCCTCTACATCGCTCTTAACCTCACTTGCAATACACAATTTGAATTGTTTCAAAAAATCTCTACCTGTTATCAACGAAAATGACATCATTAGGAACAACATAAACGTGTGCATCAACCTCCTTTACTTTATCAGAAGAGATATCTACCGTAGTGGAGCCAATAATATTTAATCTGCTCTTATTTATTCCACAAACTTTCCTTTCTTTATCGGTATAGTCAATAAAACAACTAGGGATCATTTTTTCTTTTACAAAGCTAATCGAGCTCCCTGTGTCAATTAAAGCATCTACTACTATTTCGCATTTCGTTTGAGAACTATTAAACTTTAAAGTAGCTTCACTCTGAAAGTCATTAGTAGTTTCCGCACAAAATTAACTTATTCTACATTTACTTTATCTGTACAATTGCCAATCATATGACTCTTCTCTCCACACTTAAAGCAAGCGCCTTTTTCACGCTTCGGTAGCTTACAGTCTCTGGACATGTGACCGAATTTGCTGCAATGTAGCACCGGGTTTTCGTCTGCATCGTACTGGAACCCTCTGCTATTTCTTTCTTCAGTGATGCCTCTTTTTTCGGTGACGTTTCCTTCTTCACCTGGGGTCGTCCCTCCTTGGAGCCTTTGCTCCATATCCTGGAATCTTGTTCTGAACGGTTCTTGGTCTCTAGTAGTAGTAGTAGTAGTGGAGCAGGTGGGCACTTTAATGCCCTTACGTCACCTAGATCTAGAAGTTCCATTGTGACCTCCCGCTATTTTTTTAGGATTACGCTAATAAACCCAGCCTAGTGTCTGACGCCAGGTCAATCAAGTTGCTAACCCTTTTTCCGTTTAGATCCTCAGGCTCCATGAACATGCAGCCCCAGGATCTATACCTTTTACATGTGAGTACAGGACACCGACATAAAATGTGGGCACTGTCCTCTCTCTCCTCACCACATAGGCGGCAGTCACTTTGTTCCGTAAGCCCAAGTTTGTTTAGATGGCTCCTCAGTGTGATGTGTCCCGTAAGAAGACCCAATCCCACCTTCAGCCTTAGTCTGTTCATGGCCAGGAGCTCGTTGGCTCTCCCCGGCGATGGTTGCTCCATTAGCCGTTTAGCTGTCCGGCAGCCTCCCACCGCCCTCCAGGAGCCAACGTGCTCTCGCTCAAGCCATCCTCTGATGATGTTGATTCCCGTTACAAAAGGTACTCCAACGATCTGCGTGGCTGGGTCCATTTGGGTCCCCAGCTTGGCCAACTCGTCGGCTATCTCGTTCCCGAGAAATCCCTGATGTCCTGGGATCCATACTAGAGTTATCTTGTTAGATTCCCCCAGTCTAGCTAATGCCTGCATGCAGTCCCAAACTACAGCCGATTCTGTAGTGGTCTTTGCAAGGGCATGTATGGCCGCTCTGCTATCCGAGCATATGTAAAAGTGCTGGTTTGCACTATCGTTTACAGCAAGGGTTTCCGCACACCTCAGTATGGCCATCACCTCGGCTTGAAAGACCGTGGCCAGCCCGCCCAGAGGTATGCTTTCTCTATGGTTTCTTTTCGGCCCATAGATTCCTGCCCCATACCGACCATTTGCACCCGATCCATCTGTGAACCAAAGATCCACTTTTGGATCAGCTAGTAATTTAGACTTATTCCAGTCGTCCCTAGTTGGTATTAAAACTTTAAATTTCTTCCCCAACTGATGTTTTCTTGGAATTCTATCCTGTTTTAACATGAAGGGGTACTTCTGAGAAAGTCCCAGTCTAGTGTGTCCTAGACCGGTATCTTTCCATTCCCCCTGACATCTAAGTCTATAAGCCGTTCTCCTGGCTTGGTATTTTATCAGCTGACCGAGAGGTGGGCAGCAGAGAGCTACTTCCAGCGCCTCCGTCGGGGTGGTTCTCATGGTCCCTGTCACAGCCCTCAGATAACTACCCTGAAGGCTTTTTAGCAGGTTCCTGGCCCCCACCCTCTCCATTCTCGGCCACCATACTACCGCTGCATAGGTTAGTCTTGGCAGCAACACCGTCCTATACAGCCAAAGGGCAGCCCTGGGTTGAAGCCCCCAGTTTCTACCCATTACTCTTCTACAAGCCCACATGGTGGTATAGAACTTTCTTCTCTTCTCCTCGAGGTTTGGCAGCCAGCTCAGTTTAGCATCCAGGATCACTCCAAGATACTTCACCGAGCTTGTGTAAGTTATTTCCCTGCCCCAGAGCTTTAGTGGCTCTATGTGTTCGGGTTTGTATTTCCTGGTGAAGACCACTGCCGAGGTCTTAGATGGATTGACCGACAGTCCCTTCTTTCTGCACCAGGTTTGAACTATCCTCAAGGCTGCATCCATCCTCTCCTTGAGGATCGATATGAAATTTCCTCTGGCAATAATGGCCACGTCATCCGCGTAGCCATATACCAGGAATCCTGCTTCTTTTAATTCAGCCAGAAGGTCATCGACCACTAGACACCACAGCAGGGGAGAGATTACGCCCCCCTGCGGGCAGCCCCCAGCCGGACTCCCCCCAACTGAATTTTCACCCAGGCTTACGGTTAGACTTCTGCCCGTTAGCATGCTTTGTGTCCAGTCCACGATCGCCTCTGGGATCTTGTTTCTGTACATTGCCTCTTTGATAGACTTGTTAGAGGTGCTATCAAAAGCTCCCTCTATGTCTATAAAGACTCCTATGGCGTATCCCTTGGCTTCCAGCTGTCCCTCAACTCCGCTTACAAGGTGATGTAGGGCAGTCTCGGTCGACCTGCCCTCCCTATAAGCGTATTGAGTTGTGGTCAGTGGGCAAGAGACCAAGGGTTCTGTCTTCAGGTATCTGTCTACCAGCCTCTCCACTGTTTTCAAAATAAATGATGTAAGGCTGATCGGCCTGTAATCCTTGGCCAAGATATGACCGTTTCTGCCTGGTTTAGGGATAAAGACTACCCTCGTCTCCCTCCAGGTTTGTGGTACATATCTCAGGGCTATACTAGCCCTGAGTACTTTTATTAGTGGACCTGTCAGCACCTCCAGTCCCTCCCTTAGGAGTGCCGGGTAAATGCCGTCCGGTCCCGGTACCTTATAAGGCTCAAAGGTTTCTATTGCCCATTTGACCCCGCTCGGTTGTACGATTCTGGCCGCGAGGGACCATTCTTTGGTCACACGAGGTTCCCTTGATTGTTCCTCGTCTCTGTTGCCCTGAATCGTGACATCCTCTCTGAATCCCGGAAAGTGAGTGGACATCAAGTGTCTCAGTGTCTCCTCCGTTGATTCAGTGTATCTTCCATCCGGGAGCTTTAGACATCCCAGTTGAGGTGAATTGTCTTTGCTGAGGATTTTGTTGAGTCTGGATATCTCCGGAGAACTTTCAACGCTCCCGCAGAACTTCCTCCAGCTCCTCCTCTTTGACATTGTGATTTCTTTGCTATATCGCCGTTGGGAGCTCCTAAAAGCTGCCCAATCAGTTTCTGCTTTTGACTTCCTTGCTCTATTGAAAAGCCTTCTTGTCTCAACCCTGAGCTTAATAAGCTCATTGTTCCACCATGGGATCTTAGTTGAGACTTGTTTCTGCCTTAGTGGGCAGTTTGCTTCGTAGGCCTCTATGATAGCGTCGCTGACAAACTGCGACGCCACTTCTAGATCCTGTTTTGTATTGAATCTGGACGGGGCTTTTTTCAGAATGGTGCCAAGGTCCCTCCTGTAGCTCGTCCAGTTTGTGTTTCTGGGGTTGCGACCCCAATTCCCCTTTTCCCTGTGCTCGAGCGCAAAACGTAGCTGCCTGTGATCCGATCCCGAAGGTTCGTTTGAGACCCTCCAGTCTCTCACCAGGTCAGCCACTCCCCTCGTACACAGGGTTAGGTCTATAACCTCACGTCTTCTGCAGTCCATGAAGGTGGGTTCCGTTCCTCTGTTTAGGATGATTAGCTTGCTATCCATGACGAATTCATGTAGGCTTTCCCCTCTCGGGTTGATGCCCGAGCTCCCCCACCCCACATGGTGGGAGTTTGCATCGCAACCCAGGAGTACCTCCAGCCCTCTCTCCTCCGCATGTTTTATCAGCTCCTTGACTTCCCTCTGT